AGTTATAATCACTAAACTTACCTCTAGAGCATGCCTCACAACTGAGGTCCCTCCATGTACCAAGGCTTCCTCCCTTGCTTTACGGTGATCCACCTCAGGCACATAGGTGTTGATGAAATTCTTCGCCGTGGAGAAGTTTTTGTTCCAAAAAATGCTGCTTTGGAGAGAAGGCGTGGGAACAACCACTTTACCCTTGCTAGGGGCAGGAACCTCGGTCTCTCTGAGGTTCGGATCAAGCTCAACAGGTGTTGGCCGAGGTACAAATTCCATTACCTCGTCCCCCCTAACCTCATCCTCCACTCTCCTCTTCATCTGAGCTTGATCCACTTCATCCCTCTTCCTTTTGGACCGCAGCTCCACCTCCTCTGCAGCTCGGGCTTTTGTACTTGACATCTGCCCTTTTTCCATGTTCCCATCTCCTTTCCCACTTGTAGCCTTTTCCAAAGTTTTGGACTTCTTCCTTGGCTTCTTAGGAATAGCCACCCCACCAGCAGCACCAAGAAATTTATCCATTTCAGCTGCAAAACTACAATTCCGTCAAAATCCACAGATTAGAACTAAACTCCTACACAGATCATACAAGATACTAACACACCTTCGCTCATTGAGCTCGGCCCATAAAGCTTAGTTGCTTCTATAACATCCGAGCTGGTGAGAAACATAATGTCTATTATGTCGCCCTTCTTTCTCACCAGCTTCTCTACTTCTTCTTCCTCATCACTATTTAAACTATACTTATTCTGGTTGGCCCTTTTAGCCTTCTAGGTAGACAAAACCTCTACTTCCCCATCCCCCTTCTCCCACTCGGTGTCATCAACAAAGAAAAATTTTCCTTTCACCCCTTAATGGAGGAAGGCCCTGCACTAAACAGGTTTCTCTTTTCTTTGTTGGACAACCGAGGTGTAAAGTAGTACCACACCTTCTCCTTTTTACTCCTAGCCTTCAGCATAAAAAAGTGCTTAAACATATTTATTGTGGGCACCCTAACCCCCCTAGCCCGACAATATACTATGAACCCAATTATCACTCTCACCGCATTGGGAGATAATTGGGTCAAACCTACACTATACTCCAACAACAGCCACACCAACAAATCAGGCAACGGAAACCTAAGCCCTGTTGCCAAATAATGGGCATACACTAGCATCCAATGATCCCGGGGTGTAGAGCATGCCCTTTCTTTCACTCCGGCAGGCCTAATTAATGCTCTAGAGGAAATCTTGTAAGTCTCTATGAGATAACTCAAGCTATCCCTACTCATGAGCTTAGACTCATACTCCTTTACCTTAGACACAATGTCTGCCCCACTATCATAAAACTTATTACTCTTATCTCCCACTTCCAATATATTGGCAGGCACCTCTTCTGCGCCAACCTCAACAACTTCATTTCTACCTACCCTTCCCTTTGTATGCTCAGACCCAGACGACCCACCCTCAACACTTACATCACTGTACTCTAACATCCTTACTTCCTTGCTCCCCCCAATGCTCAATGTTTCCTCAGAAGACATCTCCTCAGTCTCGTAACTTTCATTGCACGGAGTAGGGGGAGGGATGTAGTTAGGATCTTCAAAAAACTCTAACTCACACTCAATATCACTCTCACTCTTAACCCTAACCTCTTTAAGAGGGCTTAAATGTAAATCAGAAAGGGTGAGAGGAGAATAAAATTCACCACTAGAACTTGAATTACAAAAGTTCATAAGTTACTTGATTTCGATAGTGCAGAACGAGTTTTGAAGTCAAAAATGTGTCACACAAGTCACTCACACAAATACTATAAAGAGTTTGGCAGCACTTCGGTAGCAAATACGGAGAAAATAAAACTCTTTTTACAGAAGTATAGCTATATATACCAAAGGAAATATACCCCTCAATGGCTTTGATTAATTTCATCTGACGGTCACGGTTACACCGTTTCGAATTCAATGGTTAATCCTTAATGGAAATCTCTCGAATTCAACGGTTTGTTTTCCATCCCGTCCGCTTAACTGTAGCAATCACTTTTTTATAACCCGTATTTATTATACATGTCTTTCGACAAACAGTTGTCACGCCACGCACTAACCCTACGTCAATCCTTTTTAACGGGCCCTACTAAGCCCAGTTAAGTACTTCTATTTCCTTTCATAATAAAATTTTCAACTTTACAAGTGTTTCACCTCGGCTCCGGCCATAGTAACTCCATGTCACATACTTTACTTCGGCTCCGACCATAGTGACTCCGTGTCACATACTTTTCTTCGGCTCCAGCCATAGTGACTCTATGTCACATATTTTACCTCGGCTCCAGCCATAGTGATTCCGTGTCACATATTTTACCTCGGCTCCGGCCATAGGGCCTTCGTGTCACATATTTTACTTCGGCGTTAGCCATAGTGACTTCGTGTCACATATTTTGCTTACGCTCCGGTCATAATGACTCTGCATCACATATTTTTCTTTGACTCTGACCATAGTGACCCCGTGTCACACATGTTACTTCGGCTCCGACCATGGTATCCCCGTACCACATTTTTTATTTTAGTTACGGACATACATATATTTGAGTTACTAATTTCCATTTTTAACTATGACTCAAGTAACTCAACTTTAATATTCTGTCATTTCTCTTTGCACCTAACTATACATTACTCCCACCACCTTGCACAATATCATTCACAAGTGAATGACTTCGAGGGGGGAACAGTGTAAGGATAGGTCCGAGGTCCTTAACCTCGGACGTACTGCTGCAAGTCCTTAATAATCGAGCTGAAGTTAAATCCAACACTTCTTGGTCAAACGGCTGCATGATAAATACAGTGGACATGCCCACACCAGATTTACCACATACAATTTCTCGGTCCCGAAATTATCGCCTGAAAGGACATGTCATACTTCGATTATCTTGTTAAGTAAGCCACGTGGACACCTTACTAAGGCCTATAAATACCCCCTAGGGGCCACCTCAGGAAGATAATTGAAACCGACCTAAAGCTCCTTTTTTTCCATTATTCTAGAGGTATATCCGATTATTACTAACTTAAGTATCGGAGTGTCTACCTCGAGGACCCACCTCGGGGCTTTGCAGGTTCATCCAAAGTTAAGACGCAGACTGAAGAAAGACTTTTGGTTTGGTGCAATCACAGCAACAAGCCTCTAAAATTTGATAGAGCATGTCTCGCCAACATCGTCCAGTATTGTGAAACTAGCAGCCTAATGATTATTCCCAAAAGGGTTAAAGCCAAGTATAGTCCTTCTCCTTTCAATTTTCGTTCATTGTCCTCCCTATACTTATAAACAATGTTGACAAATCCGTTATCGGCTAGTACGTACCCATTTTTTAGCTAAACCAAAACGGTATAGAATCTAAATCTGTTTCGAACAAATTCCAATTTTTTCAGTTAAATTCTGATATACCAGCTGATATTTTACGTATCGGGCCAGTACACCGAAATTACGCAGGGACAATTCATATCTTAAAAAAAAGGACAAAATGGCAAATCAGTTTATGTACTTAGTGAATGGTGGCAAATCAGCTCCTAAACTAAAAACAAACACAAATCAACCCCCCAACATATATGACAATAAGGTGGCATTTTTTATCCTACATCAGTGTTGAGTTGGTACTAATTAGTAATTTATATTAAGATTTTTTTGAAAGTGTATTTTTTAAATATTTTTATTATTAATTTATATAAAAAATTTTAAAAATAAATTTTATTTTTAATATCAATATTATGTAAAGTATTTTAATTAGATAGTTAATAGAATTAAAATAATTTTTTATATAATAATTATAATATATGTTTTAAACGACATTACTTAAATTTATTAAATTTACAAAAATTAATTTTAAAAAATAAAACTTATCATTGCCTAAAATGACCAAAATAATAATTATTATAACATAAAAAATACTATTATACTGATAGTTTAGTGCTTTATATTCGTATAAGTTCTTTTTCTCAATTCTTTACCTAAAATAGATCTAAGCAGAAGAAATTACCATATACTCACAACAAATTATTGTAAATTTATAATTACTATATACTTTAATTATTTAATCCTTCTATTTAATTTTAGTAAATCTAATTTTTTTATCTAATAAAATAAAAATATAATAATTAATTGATGAAATTTAATATTTATTTTTAATT